GCAGAAAGCGCTGATGATAGGATGTGCAGCGGCAGAGGGCGCTGATGATAGGATGTGCAGCGGCAGAGGGCGCTGATGATAGGATGTGCAGCGGCAGAGGGCGCTGATGATAGGATGTGCAGAAGCAGAGGGCGCTGATGATAGGATGTGCAGCGGTAGAGGGCGCTGATGATAGAACGTATGGTTCAGATTTGGAGATGAAGGGAAGGACAATCAATCGGGAATGGCAAGATTGCAGAGTAACGTCTGTCGGGGGCAGTCTATACGCAGGCCAGGACTGACTCCCCAAATATTATTTATGTTCAGTCAGTGCGATAAACAGTCCTCAATAACGTGGCAACAGAGGAGCGAGCTTCATGGCAGCTCTACCCGTGTAGCCCCCCTGCACTCTCACTACAGGATAACCTGTAGCAGGAGTGAAGGGGTACACTGGTAGAGCTACGGTGAGCGTGAACTGTGGGTCGTATAGCCATGTAACGGGAACAAGGACTACACTGGTATAGAGCTTCACGGGGAATAATCCAAAACCTGTCACAGAACGCACACGCAACGTTGAGGAATGTTGAAGGAGAAAGGGGGCAACACGAAGGAGCAAGATGCAGCTAAGTGACATACACTGACAAGAATATGAAGATCGTGTTTCTAATGTCGTATGACGTATGGTGACTCTGTGCGGCTGTCGAACTTAAACCCAAATTACTGAAAAATCGCCGACAGCAGTTGTTGTAGTCGCTGCGCGTGACGTAATCGCTCAATGACCGCCTGACCAGTGTACAGCGGAAGTTTTATGCTCTTCCACAACAAAAAATTAACATAATTATATTCATTTGTTGCAAAAAAAATTGAGCGAAGACCAAAGAAAGGCGTAGTGTAATAACATATAATACAAGCAACTCACGATATCCACAATAAAGTTTCCTCATGTTTGTACTGCTACCAAGCTAAAATAATAACTCTACATATACAGTGGCCTTACAACGCAGTTGTACACACACACACGCACACCCACACGCACACCCACACACACACCCACACACACAACCCATCAAGCCACCCACCCTCCCCTCAACACACATCCACCCACCTACCCATAAACCCACCCACCCACGCACACATACACGCACCCACCCACGCACACACACGCACACGCGCTCGCGCCCACACACTATTTTCCTCTCCCTCCCTCTCTTATTACGATCTCTCTAGTCAATTTTTTTCCAGAGACAACTTGTATATTACGTATAACAACCACATAAATACATACATAGTGCCTGCAAAAACTGTACAACGAAATGGTGTCTGCCACCATGCGGCAGCACTTATGTCATGATTATCTCATCAGAAGCTCATAAACTCTTTGGTATACCAACGATTTGGCAAGGAAATCATGCCATGCCATCTTGTGAACAGGCCAGGTATTTACTCACGGGTAAACGAGGAGTTTTTAGAACTCAATTCGCTTCTAGAAATAACCTAGAACCACCCCCACCCCTCCGTCTGTCGTCTCGCACCCTGCACGCCACCTGTCATGCAGGCGCACCGAGACATCCTCGGAGCATGTCTAGGAGCTGGAGGCTTTGCGGCTGTGCACCCGTCACCGATACACACGGGGGCCGCGCCTGGCCGCCAATGCGTTTCACCAGTGGCCAGATTCGATGAAAGATGGCGGCCGAACGAAGTGTGCGCGTGCGCTGGCAGCCATGGCGCATTCACGTGCTGCCCTCTGGAGACTCTTCCCGCTATCTTTTCCAATATTGCTCTCCTCCCCGGCACTGGCGATTTTCTTCGGGCAGATTCCGCCTTCGGTCGTTGCCACGGCAACGGGAAAACGCTCCCCGCCGTTTCCGCGGCAACTGGAATGTTAGACGATCTGCTTGCGTCACGTGTGTGTGTGTGTTTGTGCGCGTGCGTGCGTGTGTGCGTGTGCGAGCGAGCGCGCGTCTGCGTGTGTCACCCAGTAACAGTCGCGCCCTCCCCGCGTCGACGGGAGAGACATTAATGTCATGGTGTCGTCACAGGGGGAGGGGGGGGGCAGCCGCCCACCAGCTCATGCTGTCATCTCACACTCTCTCCACGCACGCAGGCAGCAGCACCGGTAGCATGGCCTCGCATCGCCGTCCTCCGCCGACCGCCGCCGCGCCGCCGCCATGACAGTGTTCCGTGTCCGTCCTCACCGGACGCTCTCTCCTTTCTCGACACTCGACGCGCGGCGACGCCCGACCGCCGACCCCGGCGCGCAAGCCTCACCCGCTGCCCGCCGTCGGCGGCGTCCGCAGCCAAGGTCATGGCAAGGTCACAAGCGACAGCTTGGTCACTGTTCGGCTTTCATCGTTCACGGCACCACAGTTAGTTCGACGCGTCGGACGGTCGTTTCCCGCGTGCGGTGACGGTGCTCCGCCCCGGGGCGGCCGGGGATACGCGATGGCGACATCACACGGTTGCCGTGACGACTCTACAAGAAGTTGAACTCCAGTGCTTGATGCAAAGCGGCCAGGTCGGAATGAGATCGGATCCTCCAGAATGGGATGTTCAACTGTCGAACACAAGAACAGTCACGATCAGCCATAATGGAAAAAACACCTTCGGCTTAACAGTGTCTACGCTATTGGGAATAATCAACTGAGAAAAAGTTCATGTCAAGACTAATATTAGAACCA